GCTTGTCCCTGCAAACCCTGACTCCCCTTAATACACCCATGCATTTCAAAAAAGGGTATTTATGTAAATAAGGGTTCAATCCTACAAAGCTTTAATGAAGAAGGCTGAGCTTCTTAAGCCTCACCTGTGTAAAGACCTCGCTATTCCTGAAAACTCAATGCACCTAAATCTTTAAAGATCTACCCTTATTTAATTAAGCTGGGCAAAAAGCATACTGAGGTGTCATTTATGAAAACACCTTATATCCCACTACCCGTGAAAATATCCATCTGGAGTATTTACACACGCAGTTAAAGAGCTGATATCTTAGCTGCCTGCAATATTTAATGTGCACTTTCCCTTACACAAGAGAGAAACAGGATCTGCTAATCAGTACCAGACATTCTAAGTCTGCCTTGAATACTACTTGAATTAAGTATTCCTACATAACCATTTTTTTAAAAAACGAATTGTCTTTGGAGCAAGAGCAGTTGGACGAGAAAAGGCTGCTGCCTGAGCTCAACTCCTTCCAGCCTGCTCCCTTTCACCAGCTAAATATTTTAGAGGCAACATCTTCATGATGCTCACGGTTGAGCACTTCACTTTCCGTAGTCAGTTTTCATTAGTTACAAGATCCAGTCCAATAGAGGTGTTTTAGAAACTCAGTTTGTCTCAAGTCTTCACACTAGCAAATGTGTGAGAAATAAAACTATGATTTGCCTCTTCCTTAAGCAATAGTGATCTAGTCATCTTCACAGCTGTTCAGTGATACTTCTAATGTCGGTAGCACATTTACAAGCCAAACCACTATCAAACTAGGAAAGGGGAACGAGACAGAGCTTTGTATAACATTTCTGCCCCCCATTCCCGATACGCTTCTGGATGTTTTTAAGGGCAAAAATCCTACCCCACTATACTAGTTTTGCTAATCCCTTTCCTATGATCTGTTTGCCTGCCTAGGAAAAAAAAAAAAAAGGATAATAAAACTAATAAAACTTCTAATTCAATTCTATGTTAAGAGTTGGATTTGAGGAGGAAAAAAAACAAAACAAAACAAAACAAAAAAAACACCCAGAAACCATATTCTTTGTGTTTACTAAGAGATATGCACTCCAACATCTAGTGTCACAGAGCTGGAGTTAAAACCAGAAACGGTGGAGATAATTTAGCTGCACGAATGCCTGCTCTTCAGTAAAATGCTGCCAAAATTAAATAGGAATGAAACAGCACTTTGTAGTCATTGGGTGCTCAGCAGGGTTTGCGTAGTTAAAAACCTAAGTGAAAAAGGGTGATTGACCTACATTGCGATGAGCTTAGCACAGCTGTACTTTCATATTTTTTGCTGCATCCGAGGAGGCTCATTATTTAATGCACATAATTGCGGGCCCTTTGCTTGATGCTTTTAGAGGGCAGATCTCCTTCTCGGACGACTGCAGAGAGCTGCAAGCTGCAATACAGGACCCAAAATGAGGATGCTGTGCTGGGGCAGGGGACACAGAGCAAATCCCTGGGCAGACCCAAAAGCAGCCGCAAGACCATTTCCCTCGTGGTTTGGGGCAGAAGTGGCCCAGGGCATGTGTAACCCAAGCGCCTTCCCCGACGCGAGGTTTAAATAAGTAATAACCTTCCAGCTAACAACCAGTTTGGTACGTTAAACAGCCCAGGGGCTGTTAACATAACAACTAGCCATTAATGGCAGTAATGACAGATTTCAAAGGGAACACCGTACTTGAATGTGGCCGTGCTGCCAGTCAATGCAGAGGACAGAGCGGGATGGGTGCAGGCATTAAAATGTCATCCCCACAGCTCCGGAGGAAAGAAAAGAGGGAAAAAAAAGAAAAAAGAAACCCTTCTCACATATTTCACTTACTGTAAACGGACTTGAAATATTGGCGTAAACCTAAGTTCCTCAAATTAAGTCTTCACTTTTTAACCCAGGAGCGTATAAGCAGGAGACAGGAGCCTGCAGGGGAATTGCACTCTGCATATCATTTTCGTCGAGCGTGTTCTCTCTAACACGGAGCCCTTTTTTTTACTCCAGTCACTTCTCATCCTCGTTAACAAAGCGGAGCTCCTGCCTGCCGCGGCCAGCCGATCGCCCTCCGCGACGCACGCCACCTCCGAAACCGCTCACTGGTGTCGCACCGGCAGGTACCAGGCTGCAGCCTGGTCCCTCTTGCAATCAGAACACCTCCCAAGCTTATCCCTCACTCAAGACATCTTCTTCCTCCTAAGAAACAGGGCTTTGATAAAGTGAAATTAGCTAACTTTCCCGAAGCAGAGCTAAAAGCCAAGAAAGTTTTGGCTTGCATATGGGATACTTCCCCAATCTCTTTAGGTGTATCTCAGCCCTCAAGATACCCTCTAACTTTATGCCAGGGCTGAAAGACAGGGCAAGAGCACGCATTCAATCTTGAGGTTTTTTGGCAGGCATTTCTAAGCGAGAGATACGGGAAGCATCTTCGCCAAGGCGCAGTCACACAGCTTGCGAATCCAGCTCTGAGCGTTAAAGCACACAAAGTAGCTGCATTATTGCTTATAGCATCTGTAGTATGGCTGCCTTATTGAAAGGCATAATGAACACAGAGAGACGAGTTAATAAGCAATTTTACTCTTTATAGTATCATACAAGCCACATATCCTCTAGAGGGCACCACATAAATTAATAGGGAGCTTGAATAGTTTTACATGCAGCAAAGACTCCCTTTATGGTTAAAAAGAAAAAGAAAAAAAATGGACAGTTTGAAACTATAATCGAACCCTAATCTGATCATTAGTACAAAGCAATTTTATCTTTAAATTCGTGTCAAGTAGGTTGCTAAATATGAAAGCTTATTTGACTACAAAGCTAGAGAACCTTTAACTAGTTTCTACATTAGCATTAAAAAGATCACTTTTATAGGTTCACTGCATAACTAAGTAGATAAGATGCAATGAGGCAAATGACTATCTGCAATTACCTTAAGTGCATCAGCTTGAAGTTTAGTGTAAATACCAAGTTTAAAATCTATGCACTCACACGAATCACTAAAAAAAGGCCCACGACTAAATAGCTTCATTAAGACTTGATAAATCTAGAGACAGATCAGAAATATTTTAAAGCCAATTACAGGATTTTTCATCCGTGATAGTCAGAGTTTTCAATAGTCCAATTATTGCCTATGAACAAATAACTTAAATGCTCATTTTGAGTAAAGTCATGTGTTGGGTATAAACGGTCTCTTTTCTGTACATTACTTACTAAAAGTTTTCAAAAAAAAAATCTGCCAGCAAATTGTTTACTCCTGCTAGATTCAGGGACCATAAAGCCGTGGGTGCGAGTGTGTACGCGCATGGGTGGAAAACACTTTGCTCATATCCATATTACTACAGCTCTTTTGTTCTTTAAGACATTGATTCTACTGCCATAGTATTTGTGAGATTCAGGAAATTCAAAGTCTCCAGGAAATTCAGGCCTCGGATCAAATCCCCACAGTAGAGTTCTTTCACTCCTGCAGTCACTTGTAAGAAAGAATGATTCTTAAAATACATTTGAAAAATTAGGGAAAGCCCTTAATGTAATAACTGTAAGGTACAGACTCTATGCTCACTTCCAATACTGTATTTTGTGCTCCTTTTTCAGAGTTTTAAAGGCTAATAGAGCACTTTCACCACTCAGTAATCCACGAGCATGTCTGGAGGACCCTAAACTGCCTTGCAGACTGGAACACCCACCTCAGTACAAGCAGAAAGCAAGTGCATAGAGTGAAACAACAACAAAAAGCTAAGTGTGTGTGAGGGGGAAGTTGTAATGCAGAGAGCCATGGTACCAGAAACTGGTAAGAGTTTAATCTTAATTTCCATCCCAGCCGGCCCACACTGTGTACTTTGGGAACTGCTAACTGCATAGCAGCTTCACCTTTTGATACCTGTGCTAAAACTGAACTTGTGAATTAACATATTCAGAAATAACTTTAATTTTCCCCTGATGTATTAGACACTTGAGTGTCCCTTTAAAAGGACGGCTTCACTACAATGGCAAGGGAAACGTTCCCAGAAGTTCACGTTAGCTCTAGGCAGCTAGTCTCATTAGGCCTCCTCTACAGGGAATGAAGGAGAGGTGCGTCTCTAGGAAATAAGTGCTCAGAACCACCCCAAAGGAGCTGCTTTCTCTATTTACTGCTGAGAGCCCAGGGAGGCTAAATGTCCCAGATTAAACTTATCTTCCGCAAGTAGCCCTATTTATTCATATACGCTCTGCTGGCAATCTAGTTCAGTCCTGCTTCAGCTACAAATTATACTTCATATAGAACTTCATAACTTCATGTGCAACTTCTTCTGTATCTCAAGCAACTGAGAAGGTTAGAAAAACAAATGACTATTTCCTAGGGCCGAAAAGCAGCAACAGGTTAGAGAGTGGCCCACCAAGGTCACCAAGCTGTATCAAGACCAAAGTGGATTTAAACATAATATCTACAGTTATTTAACATGGGGGAAAGCATGTTGGCAACATTGGACCAGCTTCTAATAGATAAATGATGACATTCATAAAAGCTCCCAGCATTATAAGTGAAATTCCTCTGGCAAACCATGAGGGTGAACATGCATAAGCTAAAGAGTACGAAGTTCTCCTCAGAATTCAAACCCTGCTCTCAGGGTCTGTCTTTAAACAGTGTGAACCATATCGTATTAGGCACTATGCCTGAACACTGTGTTGTGTTCAAAAGGCAACTGTATCCTTGGAAATGGAGGGCTGAAGGAAACACGTTCCTCTTCCTCCTCTTCTCTAGAAGAGAGACCTTCATATGAGCATCAGAAAACTGGCAGCTGTGGGAGACTTGGTTACGTGTGCTTTTTGACTCAAGATGTAGAAAGCGACTTGCGGATTCTAGATCTACCTCTGTACTGCAGTATTTATTATTCTCCTACGCTCCAAACACAACACTTTTCTCTTGCATCAAGCATTGCTTATGTTGCCCTTACTGTCAAGACCCAACAGCACTACAAAGTTTGTCAGCAAGGGTAAGAAGGCCGTGGCCTACCTCAGATAGTCTCTGCGGCAAAGGATAAGGTTGGCTTTGGTGTACAGCGTGGAGCCCACCTCCCCCAGACGACAGTCACAGCAGGCACATTTCAGGCAGTCTTCATGCCAGTATTTGTCCAGGGCCTTTAGGAGATACCGGTCTTTAATCTTACGGTTGCAGCCAGCACAACCTTTCGGCTTGGTGTCTGGCTGGACTGAGAGCATTTGTATACCTGCAACGAAACAAGACAAGGGAGGAGTGAGAAATAAGACAGTCCCCCACAAGACGGTCTCTTTTCTTGCTTCATCTTTCCACTCCCATACACACCCAGTTCATTAAGGAGGCAATCATGTAGATAAAGTGAAATAATCTACGTAGTCCACAGCAAACTGAAAACGTTATTAAGATAAATTTGAGAGCTGAAATGTCCACTGGTCCAAGTTCCACGGCTTCTCTTAAACACCTCATTTACCTGGTCTCTTTGCTGGAAAGAAAAATGGTTAGAGGAATTAAAATATAAGTCAGCACCAACAGCTGAGTTGAAAAAGTCATCCACTTTTGCCCAGTGCATCTTATGTCTAGTGACCAGTGATTTAAACAGTATCTGCGAGAGCAAGCACATCTAAACTTACATATTTGGACCTATTTACATCTCTATAGTCTACAAAAGCACTCCAAACTCTAGAAATATAAAGACTGAAGCTATTAAAGGCTGAGAGCTAGATTTTCAGGGAGATTGGACATGACCTTTAGGGATGGGGAGGGAGGGAGGGACAAGTTGTTTTTCTTTTGTTTAACATTTCAATCTTCATAATGCAAATGAATGAAGTAAACACATTTCCAGAAACTGCAACACCAGCATCGTCAGACCTTATGTCCAACGAACATCTGAAAAATCCGATTTCATACAATCTGCACAAGGTCAGATACTTACTAGCTTATCACCATTAAAAAATATAATAAATAAATAAAAATCTACCTCTCACTTTTGAATCCCAGCCTTATCCAACAGTCAGTCTGGGGTAAAGAGTACAGTGGTGTCGGGTGTATATTCACCTCCTGAGTGAGCAGCAGCAGCCAGCATTTCAATATCCGTTCAGACTTTGGTGACAGTGCAACACTGCTGTGAGAGAGTGGCTGTGCACCAAACGCCGCAGCCAACCGCCCAAGATCTATACCAAAGTCGATCGCGCTCAGTTTTACAGTAAAGGGGGGGAAGAGGTCACTACTCCAAAGCGCTTACAGACTGATCTCTCTTGGTTAATCTCATGAACTGTTATCCCATTACACTTAGACCAATCCTCTGAAAGTCTTTTTAAAAAAAAAAAAAAAGAAAAAGAAGAAGCAAAAATCATAGCCCAGCAGATGCTTTCTTGTACATCAGACGGGCATCAGAGAGAGAACTAACACGCAGTTAGATTATTAGGGTATCGCACTGTTTAAAGCCAATCAGAGATGAAACTTTGAAAAAGAAAAAGCTGCTCATTACAGTGCATCTTACCATTACAATGAGAATTTTCCAAGACTGGGAAACGAATGCCTTTGTTAACATGAAAATCCTACACCCAAATTTAGCGCATGGCGCCCAGCTCTTACACAGAGACTGGGAGAGGTCAGATGGAGTCTTGCAACAAAGAAAAGCAAATTCAAGAGCACCTCATCAAGAATGCTCCACTACCTGCTGTTAGGGAAGCTTTACAGGCCCAGCTTTTATCAGCAGATCTCAATGCTGTAACACACTACTACGGAAAGGAAGTCTCAGGTAGCTAGGACACGAAGGGTTTTTGTTGTTTTGCTTTTTTAAAAAAAGAGTTCTCAAAGAAAACAGGAAAACGAGTGTGACCTTTGAAGCAATGGCATAGTATGTCTTTATGAGTATCAGCACTATGAAGATAAGAGACTAAACAGCAGAAGTTTCCAGGGGGTCTGCAAGCACATACATAAGCAGAGCACATTGGATTTTTGGCCCATGCTGACTGTGGGGCCCCTAAGAGATTTTCAGGGCTATTAAACTCAACTCCTGAGCCTCACCTGTGAGTCTCAACAGTTACAGAATTAGGAAAAAACAATTCTTACCATGACATGCTATTACGACAGCTCTGACACCCCGTTTGCAATGCACCATTATGTATTCTGGAGCAATCTGCTCTCCTGCTAAATTAACCATTTGGTTCTAGAGAGACAGTGGTCTCAGAGTCACCTTATCCCAAGCAAGTGCCATAAGGCAACGGTTGAGCCTCTGTAATGTCTGTGATCACCAACTGTCTCCCCTAAATCCAGGGTGCAAGCACACAGCGGCACGCTAACATGGCCATAAATAAATGGCTAAAAGCAGTTGGAGATTCGTGGTAAAAAGCCTAAAGCTGACTGTAAGTGGAAGTCCTGCTGGATCTCGTACATCTTCACACAGCAGAAAAATCTCAACCTGTAAAGTTGCATAAAACAGAAAAGTGTAAATATCTGTTAAGCGGCTACATGCTTATCCCCTATCCTCTCTTTCACCGTACAGAGAGCATAAACATATAAAACAGACTACAGTTTATATCAGCTTCTTGGAACTCGGTTAAAATAAATAAATAAATAAATAAGCTCAGAGGCATGCAGGACTGCTTTGGGGCTTTAATCTTTAGCTTGATGGAATCCAGGATAAACTAGGAGCTGACACAGTTTAGGGCTTAAAAAGAAAAAAAGAAAAAAAATAAAGTAAAAAAAAAAAAAAGTAAAAATTCACCTGATAAGGCAAATCACCTGATAAGAAACTGAGTTAGAGAATGGAGCCTGGCGGTCTCGGATGCAGGCAGATCTGCTGCCCTATACCTTCGATGTGAGCACGGCGTAGTGGAAACAAGACTCAAAAAGTGAATATCCGAGCAAATGACCTGGCAACTCATTGCAAGCACAAGGTTTTCTTACAGCTCCTAAAGTGCCATCTCACATGGTTCCACGGGTACCCTGGACCACTTCAGAAATCTTTGCTTCACTAAGGGAGTGGGCAAAAAGCAGTGCGGAGGTGGTTACCCCATTCCCTGCTTCCAAACCCTCCTTGGAGGGACGAGCGGAGCGAGACCAGCTCCCATGGAGGTAGTGAGGGCCACGCTTCACAACAGCTTTCTGGAGGCAAATGAGAAGGTCGCTCTGCCACCCGTTGGCCGCATCTTCAAAGCAAGAATTCAATCCGTGGCAGCTTTTGGAGGGAAGGAGTGTTTTGCTTCTTGGGTCCTTTCTCATTCTACTTGTAACCAAGCACTTTCTATTTAAATGAAAACCTAACAAAACTACTATTTCATTATACAAAAAAAAAAAAAGTTGCACTTATTTTTTGAAACACAGAATGGATCGCAACACCACAAAGCACCAAACAGTACTCCAAGAAGTGCTTTACTTATCTCCAAATTCTTTGCACGTGCCCCCTTCTTTACATGCCTTGGATTAAATCGCTTAATTTGGAGAGCAGAATACTTAATGACTTTTTTGTTCTGCATAGCACGAGCCACCTTAACGCCGATCACCTTGCAGACCATCCCTCTTCCCTTTAACGTTCCCGTAAGATCCCCAGCACAGCTACACTTTCCACATAAGCGCCTGCGTATTTTTAGCGCTCTTTGAATTTTGCAGTGAGAATACCTGCAGCCCCCCTTTAGCCAGCTTTTCACAGGCTGCCGTTTGAGTCCTCAGTTACTTCTTAGGACACAGGCTGGACCCTTTCAGTGGCTGGCAGCCCCCACGAAACCATCCAAGCCGCTTGCTGATGAAATACCAGAAGTGGCACGTAGCACGGCCGCCTGCTTCCCCGCTCCCCCGTGAGGGCAGGACTCATGAAGCGCTTGCAGAAAAGCTGTGATTTGGTAAGTGCTACACCCAAACTGCAAAAAAAATCTAATCTGGCTTTCCCTTCAGCTTGTGGAGTCCTACCCTGCTGCTCTCGGAGCCCATGTCACTGTCCCACCTACCCTTCTCATCTCACCCCAATAGGTTTTCAAGGGCTTCTTCCAGCCTTACCTCCTTTCTCTCTCCAACTGCCTCCCCCAGACCTTGGACATAAACCACAGAGCTGTGTCACAAACAGGACATCTTCAGTTACCACCCTTAGGACTGCTGAAGGAGCATCTTTGTAACCTGACCTACAGAGTTGGGGGTTTCTCTCGGTGCCCCTGAATAAGTTGTTCAACACAACCGACTCCCACCCTTCCTTACTGTCATTGCCGTGTGATGAAATGCTGTCATGTCAGCCAACTGTGAAGTTCGGGATAAAGAGGAAAGACTGCAAGAAAAGGCTAAATTAGCCTCCTGGAGAAAGGTAGACACACACATACACACACACACAGAGGAGAAGTGGCCGTGACCAGGAACGCTCCCTCACTGTGCTGCGTCCCACACAAGCCCTTCAGAACAGCTTCTAACTTGTAGTTGAAACAGTCTTTGAAACATGTTAGAGATGAAAGAGGTGGATATTATCAAGCACTAGATCATTTATCAGCTTTTAAAGCCCAATCTTCTCCACCTTCCCCCACCAATGCACACACATGGTTCCTACCAAGGACAGTAAGATGTGCTGCAAGAAAGGGCAAACTTGCCTCTACTTTTAAGAAAAATAGAAATCATTTTGGAGCAAATTAAGTATCAGTGCACTGATCTCTGGAGCACAGCAAACTGACAGACAATATGCAGTCAACAAGAGAGTTAGAGATCCGGCAGAAGATAAAAAGAATACTTTTCAGATGCTTTCCCACTTTGTAGCTTCACCCTAGAAGCATGCAGTACTCCAATTATGCAGGACAATACAGACATAGACTTAAAGAAAAAGAAAAGAAAAGAAAAAGTTAAGGTTTCAGAGGCTAAGAAGCGTTTCAGCACTTGCGCAGCAAGCGTTTCAGCACATCAGGAGTCGTAACTAGTTTTAGATTGGCACATAAATTGTTCTGTGGAAAATTCTTATTGCCTCCGAGACCCTGCTATTCTGAGCTATTTGACAGTTTAAGGGAAATCATAATTAAAAAAAGAGACATAAATAATAGCCTGTGCAGTGCGGTGCACAGAAATAAGTAGAACCATTTCATTTAAACTCTGGTGAGCTTTTAATTGCCCGGATTGCATTGTGAGGCAGCCCAACGGTTGATTGCCTCCATTATGCGCTCTTGTTCTGTGCCATTCATCCGCACAGGCTCAGCTTCTGTAGTTAACACAACAAAGTAACCGCAACTCCATAACACTCTTTTTTTTTTTTTTTTCCTCCTTAAAAATAAATAAATAAAGTAAGGTTTTTTAGCACCCTGAATATGGACTCTTTGGTATACTTTTGCGTTAATTTTCCCCACAGTAAATAACTAAACTTCACCTCCTGGCCTCCTGAAAAGAATTCCCTCCTTTTTCTTTAGGACTTCGGTTGGGAAGGGGGAAAAAACGAAGAGGTTAGTTTAAAAAAAAAAAATTAAAAGGGGGGTGGCAGGTAATGCAGTCCCACAGCTGTGAGCAGTGATACAGATTAAAAGAATTTGGCCAACATGGCTAGTCGATTGCCAAGAGACACTAAACAAAAGATTTCTCTTCTTCTTTCCTCCTCTCTTTTTGAAAGCTAGATTGGGCCTAAAAGCTTGTTTCTCTCTGTTCACTGGCCCAGAGCATCCCTGCAGGCTGTAGCCCCCTAAGGGACAACACAGCAAATAGATGTACCCAGATCTCAGGGACTAGAGCTGCTTAGCTATGTTCCTATCCCTGTCGTGCCTCCCCCCTTCGCCCCCTACTCCCCCCCCCCTTTTTTTGAGCAGTGGTGCTGGGAACCAATTTGATTCCCTTTTTCTCCAATGCAGCTGCAAGGCTCAGAGATACTGACATTTTTCCACTCTTATCAGTTTAATTACAGTTACCATGGCAGCAAAGTGCTAGTGCTTGGCAAAGGCCAACAAGAGATTTGCAAGACTGAGTTCAATTCTGATGCAGCTCACATGCAAAAATAAAATAAATAAATAAATAAATAAGAAACATACACTCCGCAACAAAGAATCCCTCTCGGAGTCGGACGCTCAGAGCCTTTTGTGCCAATTCCCTTCCAAGCATCGCAGGGACGGGGAGCGGAGGGAGGCGGCGGGGAATGTGGCGATATTTTGTTGCACCGCGCAGGATTAATTGGTTTAAGCATTAGCCCGGCAGGGCTGTCCGGGGAGCCAGATTTAAATAATCTCGGAGCACACACACACACACACACACCCGAGCATCGCTCGCTGCACATTATTCAGCACTGGAGAGAGAAGCTGCACCCCTCAAGCGCTACTTTAAGGCACGGCGGTTGCTCCGCGCTAACTGTATGCATTTATATACAAATAAACAAGCGCGACCGCGACCTTACCGAAACTTTTCTCCTTTTTCTGCATGAGTCGCTTTGCGGGGGCTCCCGGAGAGCACCGGCAGCGGTGGCGAGCGGCTCCGCGGA